TTGCTGCATTCCATGACAACATTTCTTCAAATTTTCATTGCCAAATGTTTAATTGATGGATGAATGACTACAGCTTTTTGAATAAATTGATTAGGTTGGCAGACGTTCAAAATGTACTGATCATGTGCCAACTTTCTTACTTTAACCACATGAGCATGGAATCCATTATTTTAAGAAAATCTGGAGAACAAATGGGCCAACCACTGTAACAGTAAAAGTTCCCTGTAGCCCTTTGTGAGTATGAATACATGTTATAATGTAAAATCAATACCACATAAAAGAAAATGCGGTTATCTGCTCGTGTAGTTAGACCTGCACACCTTGCCAGAATAAAAGATGACTTGGTAATGGTTGGAATGACCACTGTTAGTTTCACAATGATACAATGCCAAAACTGATTTATTTTAAGTTATACATTATTTATTTTATTGTTGTTTTTGCTTCACACATAGCCGCTTATATTATGCCACCCACCAGAGCTAAGAGCATCAAAACTGTGACACAGTTCAGCTCAATGAGTAAACAATAAGACCAATCCTCTACAGAAACATGCCGCCAACAAATCAACACATGCTAACGGTGTGAAAATTAAACTCCTGAACTGTTAGCTCATGCACTAAGTGGACTTGGCCTGACTCCTAATGACTGACAGGGTGCGAGTCATCAGTCAGTCAGACCACCGCAGACACAGAGCAACATCACAGAGAAACGTGTGGGCGTAGGAATCATGAGGGTCTGTGTCAGACAAGTTTACATCTGTGTGAGGCTGTGAGGCTCATTGTATAATCAAAATAATTGCAGATAGCTAAATTAGATTTGATCTTATTCTAGTAATTTTGTTCTTCAGAAACGCCCTCATCGAACTCACACACATGTTGTACAACCCTTGTTATCTGCTGACCAATGAACAGCTCTTCTGTTTTGTGGTGGTAAAATGTTCCCCATCCAGTTTAATCCGGCAGGTCCTGGGATCAGACCAGCGACCCCTCTGCTCACAAGCCCACTACTCTAACCTTTAGGTCACTACTGCTATAGATCATTGTGCTTATTAGTTTCAAAAAAGTAATGCCTGCACCACACTGCATGGTTTCGAGTTACCCACTTAATAGTTGTCAAGACATGCCACATTGACACATAGCTATCAATGGATGCACTAGATACAAAATTAGATGATCACCAAAGCTTTTACAGTTTTTCCTGTGGGAAACATGAAGATTTAAACCAAAATGAAATGGGAATACATCAAATAGTCATTGAAGCTTTTCACTTCGAAATACAAATGTGCCCCTCGTGGTGGCACCACACTGTAGACGTAAAGTCAGGGGAGTCATTGTGAAACAGTAAATAACTGTAACCCTTAAGTGGTAGAAAGAGTACGGAGACCTAAACTACTTTCTCAAGAGCTATGCAAGTTGCTAAAATAGTCCTGACATCTAATCAGTAAGCTACTGTGAAGTGAACATGACAAAAATAATAAATGGAAATGATTTTCATCAACATTTAAAAAATGGCGTCTATTTGCAGCTTGAGAGTCACTGGAATCCTCAGATATTTTATTGAAAATAAATCCACATTCCTGCCGTAGGGGACATCCAGATTGTTTTATAACATTTTCACTGGTGTGTCCCCCATGACTCCACTTTGCTAATAGTTTACTTCATGTCTGAAATGAAGCTCTAAACAAAGACAGTCATTGATGACAGAGTGCAAAACCTCGCAGAGAGCAACGTCTCTCATTCAAATACCAGGACTTGTCCAACAGAGAGAACATATATCTGACCCACCAGACCACAGAGGTAAGAACATATATATGGTGAAGTATATAACATTCAGCTGCTCATCAGTTTTCTAACTTTTTGTGAGGTTAAACGTTCTATATTAGCCCAAATTGATATTGTTGTGTTTGAAGGAACTGCGCAAAACATTTTTCTCATCTAACATTTCACATTTCATGCTATCTTTTTATATAGTTTACCTGTAAAACCCTGTCACAAATGTTTGCATTCAGTTTAATCATTTGCAATAGCGTCTACCAAAAGTTTATATACATTTATTTAAGATTTGATTTGTGTTTATATTTTCCTCCGATATATTTAACTTGCACAATGGGGTAGATTCTCTTGCATTTACTTACTTTAAAAAAAACGTTTCAATACATATTTACAGATTTGCATTTCTAAAAACACATGATAAAAAAAAAGTGAAATCTATTTATTGGTTTTTAAATGTTGGATTTCTGATATGTTTTGCCTTATCAACGTATGCTGGAGGTTTCATGTTGATCTGTGTGATTTGGATAAACTCTCACAGGTAACAAAGCTCCACTATGAAGTTTTCTCTCGCTCTGGGTTTTGCCTTCATCCTCCCACTCATCAGGGCTCAGGTGCCCCATTGGGGACCTTGTCCAGATCCGGCTGTTCAGACGGCCTTCAACCTCAAACAGGTATAAAATGCTTTGTACAAAACATTTAAAATTATTTGGAAGACTGATGCCCTGTGGTCCATGGTGAAGTGGGAGTGACATGAACAGCTGTGCTTTTTCTCTGCTATTTCAAAAGGAGAAAAACTAATTTTCAACCTTAAACCAATGCTACAGTATGTGATTTTCTAAATGAAATGTATCTTGTTACATCTTATTTAGCTTTCTTTTTGGAAAGTAGCCATTATAATTTATACTTTAGCATGGATGGCTAGGTACTTATTATCATCTTAACCTAATTGTAATGATTATCTAAGTATTTGGTAAAGCATGTAGCTATTCTAAGCAGCACATTAACATATATTGTTTCTGTGATGCAGTGGAGGAGAAGTGAGAAGTGTAGCTTAAAAAGAAAATACAAAGTCAAAAGTACATTGAGTACTTAGATTCCACCAGTGGATATTTTTTTACATTTGACTCAATCCACTAAAGCATGCAGATTTATTCATACTCTCCAGTCACAGCGCTCTGATTGTCTTTGAACTTGTGTGTGTCTTTGCCCTCACAGTTCATGGGGAGATGGTTTGAAATTGCCAAACTGCCGGCCCAGTTTGAGAAGGGTCGGTGCATCGAAACCAATTTCACTTTGAAGACAGACAACTCTATTCGAGTGGTCAGCTCTGAAATACTGTGAGTCCTATCTGCAATTTTCTTTGTGCAAATGTGGAGAGTCAAGAGGTAATATTTGCACTGTGTGTGTATTTCCATAATCTAACTTGAAACTTGAATGTGGAATAATACAGAAAAGCAGAGCTGAGGAAAATCGAAGGGACTGGAGTCGTAGAGGATATCAAGAATCCGGCTAAACTGGGAATAAGTTATTCCTACGGTGAGAAAGACATTTTTGAGGATAAATTGTACTTTATTGCAATATGATGACCCTCAATTTAGGGGCAAACCTACTGAATCTTGTGCAATAACTCCATTAACTACATTATCCTTATAGAGGAGCAAAATTATATCGGAAAGTGTGTTATTTTGTTTGCTGAAGATGTTTTACGTTTGTGGTGTATTTCCAGTTTTATCCTGTTTTTTAACTGCACTGATAGTGAGAAGCACTGCTAATAATAATGCATTTTTTACAGCGATAATAAAAGCTTTCTATTGTATTTCTATCCAATTATATTTGGTGTGTTTTGAGGGAGTCACTGGATAATATTAGTGAACTTTCTAACAAGTATATGCATCCCATTTTTACTTTTGTTTCAGATCAGAGACATTGAAAGTGATCTGATTTTGTTTTGTGCTCCTTCCCACCACAGTCCTGCCCTACTCCCCTTACTGGATCCTCTCCACTGACTATGTGAACGTCGCCCTGGTGTACTCCTGCACCGACATCCTGAGGCTCTTCCACGTCGACTTCGCCTGGATCCTGGGCCGAACACGAAGCATGCCAGAGGCCACCGTCCAGAAAGCCATGGACACCTTTGCCAAGAACAACATCGACGTGAGCAGGATGATTCCCAGCAAGCAGCAGGGATGTGACAAAACCCTCTGAGCAGCGATGGAAATGAAGCACAAGATGGCGCTGTGGTTGACAAGAGAGAAGCAAAATGATCATCTCCTCCAGAAAAATACTTGACTCATATTTGGATAATTATGGTGAGGGGTGTAATAAACTCAGTGACGATAATAAAACCATTTACTGCATGATTATAGTAAGTATTTTGTTATGAGGGTTTTTTAAGTACAAAAGCATTGTGTTTTGCAACACCTTTTTTTTAAAACTCAAGATCCCTGGTTGTAGTATTTCAACCAGGGAGAGTCAAGCTGAGAGTCACATTTAAGCTTTTCCTAATGAATAATGTCTGCTGTTTATTTTCATGAAAATAGAAAAATCATATTTAAATCAAATGATGAGTAAATCTGATGTTTATACCACAAACTCGGAGCATGAAGTATCCAATTAAAGTCAATAAAACTCAGTGAAATGGATTCCATGTGATCTTTCTTGATTCTTTGCATCATGCTTTTCATGAAAACATACTGCATACATCAGAGTATAGTTTGAGTATTTCTGAAGACCCTGGGACATCATCATTATAAATGGAACATAGGAACACTAACTTTTAAACTTATATCATGGGAAGAATCATTTTATAAAAGCTTGTTTTAAGGTTATTCCTTTCTGTGCCTCAAGCTAATGTTAAAAGCATGAGACCCACCCACAGCCAACTCACACACATACAAATAAATCGTGTTTTACTTCTCTAAAAAGTTTAAACTCCAGTCTACTATTTAATGTATTATATTTAAACCTTAATATCACAGTAATTCTTAATAATATTTGAGTTGATCTTATACAATTTAATCTCTCAATGTTTTCCCTTTCAGATTTCTAATTAATGGTCATGTTTGGTATGTCACAAATAAGACAAGTGGTAAGTTGTATGTGGTACTGACCTGCTTGATACATTGTTGTAATGCAATGAATAAAACACAATTTGTTCAATAAAATAAACAAATTGACAACACTCTTCCATCCATTACTGTAAAAGCTGACCTAAAAATGTGCTGCGGAACCTTTGTGTTGTGTATTCACTCGATTTTCATGTCGGACTTATTTTCATCCTGCACCGCACTAGCTTGGCTGTGAACCTTCTTTAGCTGATAATTTGATCCATATTACCTTGTGGTTTTCTTCATCGATGCCACTGAAGGATCAATCTAACTCGACCGTCGTCATGAAGCCAGCAGTGGATGAGATGTTTCCTGAGGGCGCGGGGCCGTACGTTGATCTGGACGAGGTTTGTTAGCTTACTAGCTAGCTAACTCATTAGCTTAGTCAAACTGTATAATAAACATTTAGCGTTAGTTGGCTATAACACATTCTTTATTCCTCCGTTATTTCCTGCCTAATGTCGCCATAGTTAAGCGGTCATGTAACATTAAGTGCTAAAAATGAATGAATATTAACAAAAATCAATAGAGTAATTTCACTCAGGCTATTGTCAATAACAACGCTAGTTTGTTGCCTTGGTAACGTTGACCTCGACGTGTGTAGTGTACTGTCTGTATCGAGTTAGCAAAATGTTAGCAAACACAGAGCGGGAAGAAGTACTCGTATCTTTAGTAAGTAAGAACTACTACAGTATAGGAATACTCGGTTACAAGCAAAAGTCCTGCATCCTGCAATAAGACGACTATTCAGTTAACTCATTCGTATGAAAGAAAAGTAATTTAGTATTTTCAAGTATTTTGATTATCTATAAATGTTAATCGTTCTTCATGCACAAAAATTGATTTTCTTGTTTTGTATCATATTAAACTGAATGTCTTTGAGTAGAAAGAAACAAGGATTGACATTCTTTTTGACACATTATACTTAAGTATTGTTAGTTTTATGTATTTTCTATATCTTAAGCCTACACACTGTGTATACTGTAGCAGCCATTATAAATATGTATGTACTCAAGGCTATAAAACCCTCCACCCACTTGTATCTACAGATAGCTGTGTTGGTAAATATTCATAGGGCTGCAACTAACATGTTATTCATCGAGTTATCTGCTGATAATTTCCTTTTAAATCCATTAAACCTTTTTACAATATACCATATTCTGATTCAGATCTATTTTCTGCTTTGTTGTTCTGTTTTTGTCTGTATTTTTATTTCTGTCTTAGTGTACATTTATTTTGTCTATAATTACATTGAGAGTGACTTTGAACTGGAGTTACATTCCTTGCTCAATCATGCATTTTGTAGCAATAGGATGTATTTCTAGATGTCTTTCTCGGGTTGAATGTGTGTCTGACTGCATGTTTGTTCTCTTGCAGGCTGGGGGAAGCACAGGACTGCTGATGGACTTGGCTGCCAATGAAAAGGCAGTTCACCCAGACTTCTTCAATGGTGAACAATCTCTTTATAGCATTCTTTACAAACCCAAAACACTTTCAAATTGTTAAGGAAATACTGATTAATTGTTGCTGCTCACTGAGCTAATCTACGGTACGTGCATGTATTGTATCTACCACACTATCTGCTCTTTTACAGTTATCTTTTTAAAAGATTATATAACCCTTTTTAGTATGAGTAGGGCTTGACAATGAAATACTCATGGTTGAATTCTGCCACATCACTACTGCTAAATAATGGCTAGTGGTACAGAGGGCAACATTTGTGGAAGTCCCCACACATACATTCTCCACTGAAATACTGCAGACTGGATGCGTGTCCAGCGTTTCAACAACGCTTCATGTGCCTGGAGGTGAGGAAGTTTATAACTCCAGTTATTGCCTTCATCTGGGAGGAGTTAGGGACATGTAGTGCGGTTGGTGGTGCCACTGGTTATTTTATAGCACTATTGAGTGTTCTGAATACTGGAACTACTCTGTTGAGTCGTCCTTTTTCCGCAACTTTAGTACTTCGGACTTCACACTGCTCTACAGATTGTGTACCAAAGAGACATTTCTGTTTGGGTCGTAAAGGAGATTTACGTCTTGAGAAGGTGTGTGTTTGGAGGGACTAAGCAGGAGAGGGGTGTGTTGCAAATACGGAAACCCAATATAAAAAGATTATTCATAATATTAATAAATTCTGTTGGATTTCAAAAGGCTTTTAGATTTTTGATGACATTTTACAGAATTTGAATCTTGTTCGGATTTTAATCAAAAATAAAATTGCTGTATTTCTGACTTTGTGCTGGTTTTCTGAACAGTTTCTTTATTAACAGACAAGGTATGTTTCCAGCAACATTTTTAATGAACACTTTCAGTTTGTGCAACCAAAACCTGAGTGGTTACCTTGAGATATTGCACAAAGTGGAAATGGTATAATGGGACCAAACTGTAGAATCTACCCTGCCTACTCTCAAAGCCCTGTTTAAGATTTGTCGATGGAAACCTAGAGCCTAGCAACCTTTTGTCTGTAATGAACCTCTCACAGAGTTTTACAAATCGATGTACCAACTCAAATACATTCTGCTCAGGTTATCTGAAGTAAACTGAGGAGGAGTTAGTCATATACAGATAGGAAGTAGTCAGTCAAGGCAGATTGAATCTATTAGCACATGATGTTATTTCATCTCTGGGCGTCAGTGAGCTTCTGGTTCCACAGCAGGACATCTCTTTACTGGCCCCAAAACATTCCTTGTAGCCCCCGCCCCCCTTTTACAAACTGTGTTTTATAATGTAGTGTGATCTGTTGTCCCGAGGCGCAGCTACATCAAACGGCCACAAATTCTCGCCATATGCACGACACAGATTCCACGCAGACTTCTCAGCAGGAGCTCTGTGGATGTGCTTTGTATGAGGCTCATTTAGGGTGGCAGGCTTTATTCCCTGGTGATAGAGATGTGTACCACTTAACGTCTGCAGGCGCATTGAGGCAGCTCACAATCCCTTGGCCTTCATTTATACAGGGATTATACAATTCTCCACGTTAATTCATTTAAACAATGAGTGACAAAAGCGACAGTTTGAGGTAATTTGTGTTATTTCAGGAGGAAATATTCAGGCTGCAGCTGCAGCAGTTCTGTAGAAAAAACACGCTGTAGTGTGTAGTCCTCTTGTTTCTAAAGGTTTTTTTTAAATACATATTTTACTTCCTAGGCTAACAGGACACTGCAGTATGATCAAAAACATAAATTCATCTTTTTCAAAATGTTTGCGTAGTACCGGGTGTTAGGCATGTTTAGAACACAGCATGTCAACTACTTGCAAATTCATTTATACTTGAACGAACTACCAATTTCATGGTTTATACAGTATAGTTTATTATGATCTATTACTTCAACGGTGCTTCTTTTCATTAGACCTATTTAGTTAATCAGTAAATAAGGGTTGACATTGTACCGAAAAATGCTACAATGCACACTTTGATATTTTACACAACAAGGTGCTTCCAACTTTGTTGCAACGGTTTGGGAAAGGCTTCTTCCTGTTTCAACTCGACAGTGAACTGGTGCACATTTGGGCATCCACATATTCTCTGACATAAAGCATACATGACATTGAGAAGTAAACTATTGTCCCAGGAGTGACAACATGACAGAAGTATTTTCTCACCTGTCACTTCAGTGTAGGTAATGTGTTTTTCTTTTTTTGTGAAGTCTTTAATTTGAGCTAAAATGTGTTTCTGTCTGATTTCTATGTTCGGAGTGTTTGATGACACCTTTTAAAACAGCAGTCTGTGCACGAGGAGGACCTGTGGAAAACAAAGTCAGCGTCTTGAGTGTAGTCTGCACAAAATGTTCTGTACGCAGGCTGACTGTGGACTGTACTTATACACAACAATAAAACACTATTTAGAGTTTACATAAAAGCACCGGCCGATCATTAAACATTTCATTTTTCTCTTTACTGAACCTAACATTTCATGAGACCTTATTTACAGAATTACAGCCAATTCCTTTCATCCCAAATTTGTTTTTCCGTTCTGAAGAGATCAGTTGATCAATCTATTAGTATGTTGGCAGTAACAATTAATCAGCATTTGTCCTGATAATCATATTTGTGTTTTTCAAGAAGAAAGACTAATTTATAATGAAATAATTATCAGGTGGAGTTTTAACATTTTAACAGGAAAACCCCATGACTGCATTTTAAGACTTACCTCATCAATTATTAATCTACATATTCTTCTTTTTTTAAATGTTATTGTATTTATTTTTCTGCCTGAAATGGTGAAAGAAACTGGCAATCATTTTCCAAATCCCAAAGATATGTTGTTTACTGTCATATATGTTGAAGAAAAGCATAACATCCTCACGTTTGTGAACCTGTAACCAGCTGCCAATGTTTGGCACTTTTACTCAAATATGGAGAAAATGGATTATCAGAATATTTGCTGATACATTTTCTGTTGATCCATGATTCATTGCACGTCTAGAAGAGAATATGATGATTGCCATATCTAAAAACGTGATTCAAACAACGACAGTAATGGTTGAAGTAGTAGTGAACTTCACTAAGCTGGATCGTGGTGAGTGTTACCTGCAGGAACAGAGGATGTGGCACATATTCCCATGCATGTTCATACACTTCTCCTGCTGACCTCTGACCTCACAAACAGTCAGACCTGCAGGAAGGACGCTCAGCAAGAGCATTCCCAGATCCTTTTACTTTTATCACCCTGCAACCCTTCAACCCTCTCTACCTACACCGCTGCTTTATGAGAAAATGGCTGGCTTGCAGAAACATTTGAAATACAGTGTCATGTCACTTTAGATTAATAATTGTGTTTCTTTTCTCCACAGATTTTGAGGATCTGTTTGATGATGATGACATCCAGTGAGAGAGAGAAGCACATCGTTGGAGTAATGATGGATTATATTCACATCGCTCCACACCTTTTTTTCTGGTGGAAAGCAAACCAACCATTTACTGTCTAATGGTATACAATTGCCTTTCATAGTTCTCCTAGTTTTAGGCTTTAAAAAAAAAAACATCCTTAAAAAGTTGTCCCTGACTCCAGATGTTGTGAAATTCTTAAGATCCCAAGGATTCCTTCAGATATGGTATGTTTAAAATTATGAGCTTGTATCGTGCTCATGTCTTCCACTGCTTCTTAACTGGATTGCAGGTTTCAGAGTGCTGGAGAACACCTGTTAGGAGCGTAATTACACATGTGATGGGCAGCGGCTCCGTGTGCTGTCGCCTGTAAGCATGCTGCAGATGGCATACGATGAATGACGGTCTGCTAAAAATAGCTTAAATTATTTGTATGAGAGTGTGTGTGATAGTCGGATGTGTGCTGTGTGTTTTGATTTCATATCTGCAGTGTATCCTGTTACATTAATAGTTTGCACGTATGTGTACTGTAGTTATAATTCCACACTTGTATTTTTGTGTTTAAAAGTCAATAAATAGCATTTTGTTTAAAGGAAGCTGAAAGTGTGTCTTTTTTTACAGAGCGCTTTTCCCAAGTATAACATTTTTATTTTACATTAACGAGATTCGATTTACCAACACGTTTTGTCTTTATAACTAGTTGCATATGGACACTACCCAAGGACCCCTTTGTGACTTTTAAACTCACTGGGTAACCCTTTAGCTTCATTTTTCAATGTGAAGGGTAGTTCGTCCAAAAACCATGTGGTTAATGTCACGTAGCTGACCTAAGTTTAGTAAATTGCATTTCAAATTGGTTAAATCTCAGCAACAAAATGTTTTGGTTTGGTTCAAGGAAGGTCTTGGTTTGTGTTTAAAAAAGTTGTAACTTAAAGGTGGGGTAGGTAAGTTTGAGAAACCGGCTCGAGATACACTTTTTGTTATATTCCATGGAATGCTCTTAACATCCCGATAGCAATGAATATCTTAAGTGCTTTGACAAAAAATCCATAAAAAAATGTAATCTGTGGAAGCCGTAATACTGTAAAAAGCACGACCAATCATTTTAGCCGGCCCGGCTAAAATAACTGGATGGCCTACCTGCCTGTCAGCCTTCCATCTGTGCACAAACTTATCTCGTGCCCTCATTGGTCATGTGCGCGTTCGTGTGTGTTGGAGGAGGGGCTCTCTAAGGAAGTGGCAGATTTCTTCCGGCTGTGTATTTTCAAATTCTAGCGATCTCGAGCTGGTTTCTCCAAAATTACCTACCCCACCTTTAAGTGATGTACAGTTAACGTAACATACAAATTAAGTATGTTGCTTTTGTGTCAATTTAACAAACAAGCTGGTTTCACCCAGAGAATGAACATTAGACTCCTGGATGAAAGTCCTGTGTTTCCATCCGTACACCCCAACATCCGCAAAAAACACAGACTTTGTCGATCTTTATGCTACGTCACGTGTTCACCTCCTTTACTCCCATCATCATTACTACGACCACCAAAAGAAACCCTTCATGTCAAAAACTGAAGCTAGAGGGAGTCAGTTATAGGAATTGTAAATTGTCCCATTATCTTAGATCCTTACATTTTGAGATGTATTGCAGTTCATCCCAAGAGTATGAAGTGCAGATGAGTAAATCCGAGGAACCTCAAGGATAAACCACGTCTCTGAGCGAGTGTGAACTCCAATACTGAAGACAACAAGCTGAATAAAATAATCTAACTTTTGGAGAAGAGCTTTGTAAACAAAAAACCCAATTCTCTCCTTTAATATGCAGCAGCTTCCTGCCTATAACCACATTCAAAAGAAGACTGCTTAAAAGGAAATATAAATGGCCAGCCTAGTTTTCGCATGAAGCAAAAAGTATTTTTTCAGTCTCAGTTTGTCAGTAAGATATAATGTTTTATCATTTCTGAAACCTAAGTATAGACTCGAACAACATACGCCCTCAATATGAGCACCAATAGGAAGAAAGGTCATTTATGTTTATATTTTTTGGGAACAGCATTTTGGGGATTTATTATTATTCAGTGCATTTCTGGGACTGATAAGAGGCTTTTGAAGAGCACAACATGCAAACTACAGGTTTTTAAAAACTTACCATACAGAATCAGCCAAACAGGGAACTGTCCTTTCAGACATTTTACTGATTTACAAAACAATGGTATTCATTTAGCTGAACATTTTGATTGTGCATTTAGCAGCACACACCAAGTGCTATTTGAATGAGGATTTGTAAAAATGAAACAGGAACATGCTCAAGGATAAGAGCCAATTAACAAAAGTGTCTGTAATGGAAAGAAATAATCAACGTTTCTTCAATCAATCTCGATTAGCCTGTCCAGTCATGAACTGATATAACTTTCACTCTGTAAAGGAACATACATAATATTCCCTTCAGAATTAAATGCCAATTGTAGAGCTTCAAGCAGTTTATCAAGAATCCCTGGGTTTCTTGGCTTGTAGGACAATGTGGAGATTAAACAGGATTAGGTTATGATTTATATAATTTGAATTACATTAACAAGACTACAGCCATATAGCAGCTCTGTGAGGCTGCACAGGCACATCAGGGCTTTGAGCTAAATACTCTCCATTCTAACTCACTAAGACAACAAGTAGTAAGTGTAATGTTTCCCATTTTCCCCATCTTAGTTTAACATATTAACATGTTAATATTAGCTAATTAGCACAAGCCACAATGTAAAGCTGAGGCTTATTCAACATTTGGCAACAGACTTTTCAACAAGGAACAATTTGTGTTATTCTGTCAGTTGAGAACAGTCAGATACTGTTAGCATAACAAACAGTTAGCTGTTGCTAGCTTGGTTAGCAGGGTGCATCTGTATTTCATGTTACTATTTATTAGGCTGCTAATTCTGGCTTGCTAAAAAACTAAACCAAAATGTACATGCCGGAAATATGGCAGCCGACTCTTGTCGCGCTGAACAAGACATTCTTAGGCGACCAAAGTGTTTTAATTAACTTTTAACTTAAAGGTGGGGTAGGTAATTCACTTCAGAAACACTTTTTGTTATATTCCATGGAATGCTCTTAACATCCCGATAGCAATGAATATATTAAATGCTTTGACAATAAATACATAAAAAATGTCATCTGTGGAAGCCGTGGCGCTGTAAAAAGCACGACCAATCATCTGAGCCGGCCCGGCTAAAATAACTGGATGGCCTACCTGCCTGTCAGCCTTCCATCTCGTGCACAAACTTATCTCGTGCCCTCATTGGTCATGTGTGCGTTCGTGTGTGTTGGAGGAGGGGCTCTGTAAGGAAGTCTGAAGGAAGGGGCAGATTTTTCCGGTTGTGTACTTTCAAATTCTAGCGCACTCAAGCTGGTTTCTCCAAAATTACATACCCCACCTTTAACTGAACTGTGAGATGGTTTAAGTTCTAAGATGCAAAACAAGGTCATGGCTTTGTTAATGTACATGCTGTCATGAAAATGTATTCAGTCTTCAATCTTTATCTACCCTGCATCTTTGATCTTTTATACTCTAGATTGGACCATCATTTATAAAATGAACATTATGCTGTATTGATTATTATTACAAACAACCACAAATGTTTTTTTTATTGCTAAATCAAGTGATAAATGTGTTCATTTTTTCATAGACTTCTTTACAATCGGACTTATTTTGCAACCAGTAGAGTTTCCCCACTGCTGGCCATTAGAAATAATGCACTTCTGCTTTGGCTTCACTTTTCAGACCAGGAGGTTGAAAAAAACAGCTTTTCATTATTAACAATCTCTTGCTGGTTTATTCGTAATTTGAACCACAACTTAATTGCTAACATTAAAGCATTCAACAGGCATCATAATCTTTACAAGGGTCTTTGCTTTAATGGGCTTTTCTTTCACAAGTAGCATGAGAAGCTTTATAGGTTTTAGCCCAAATGTTTTGTTAAGTTGTACATTATCACATAAGAGACAGACATCTATCCTCCAATGATGGCTCTTCAGAATCAGAATCAGAATACCTGTATTAGTCCCACAGAGGGGAAATTTGCATCTTACAGCAGGAAAGAGCCACAGACAGCTTAATGTTACCTATGTTAAGAAAAAAAAGTACTAAGTTATGATATAATAAAAATATAATATAAAAAAGAAAAGTAAAAGAAAAAATACTTTCCAAAATACAAATCCTGTAACAGTTCTTAGAATTTAGCAGCCAGGTATATATTACACAGTTATTAATGGCTTATGTATATAATGTAATGTATATATTGCACATATAGCACATATTGCACATAGTATGATGGTATTTAACTGCAGCAAGTTACACAATTTACAAGATACAAAATGCAAAAAAAACACACCTTGTAACGTGTAACTGCTTTAAGCTGAAGAAGACAACCATTTGTCTTTTTCTGTGACAACCCCACTTATTTTGAAATGTGTAAATTGCAGGGATCATAACCAAAGCTGAGGCATCATCACTCATGCAAGAGAGACACGGTCCTGTGGGACAAACTGTACGACAGTGGAAAACAATGAATACAAAATCAAATCAAATCATGTTGACATCTAAATTGAGCTGATAGCTATTCATAAATAAACAGTATACTGTAAAAAAAAAACTCAAGTGAATCCAAACCATGGTACTTACTGTAGAGTATAGCTCAGGGGGTTATTATCAGGAGGAATGGTCAAAAACATATGTCTTTGAGTGGAGGAGGGAGGCCTGAAGGCAGGGGCTGAGATCTTCTGTTTTCTTTGGTTTAATGCTTTCAAAATCCAACTTACTCTTGCTCTTGGTTTTCCAAAGTTGCCTACCCCAGCTTTAAAGTCTGTTAAGAGTTATGGCTCATTGGAAATATTTGCTAAAGAAATGCATGAATGCTGGAAGCTATGTGTTACCTTCTTCTTGTCCAATTGAATAAATGAAATGCATCTCATTTTCCCTAAGGTGCAAGGTGACAAGCCATACCTATTTAAAAAACATTAAGCCTATTTTTCTGACAATGTTTTCCAACTCTGGATAAATGGTTGAAACATTACTTCTGCCTGGGGTAGATTAATTAATGCAATTTGTAACTAGCCAACCCACTGAAAGGTAATAATGTTGCAAAACATCCAGTTTAAGATTAACAAAAAAAAACACACTTTGAATATGACTGGTGGCGGTGAATTCAGGGATACTTGAGTTATCTCACGGCTGTACGTCTGGAAAATGTAAGTATGCGGTATTTTCTTTAAGTAGCCTTTCAAATAGCCTTTGGGGTTGTTTTACTGTTTTCCAGCTAATGTTCTGGTTTCCATAGCTCCTGTACGGTATATACATTTATTTATTCCACTGGCATTGGCTGGAGGCTGTACAGGCTACGTGGCAGAGAGCGAGCAGCAGGAGCTTGTAGCAAACAAACAGGATGGTGTTGGCATGCTGGTCCTGATGTCTCTGCAGCTCCACAGCAGCAGCAGCAGCTTCATTAGTTTCCTCTCCGAAGGACTCCAGATTCCTTCATGTTGTTAAATAAAACCATGCACGGGCACATAAATTAAACAAATTAGTGAGGGAGGTAAAAAATTGAAAATATTCACATTAAGGTCTCATACTATTGCCAATAAACACATATAAAGAAACAACACTTAGCAATAGTGCAATTTGTACCCTCTCCAACAGATGAAGCCCGTCTGCTCCACTGAAAATAAAAAAGTCACGTACCTGTCATCCTGGACAATATTACTCAAACATTTATCACTGTCCTGATGCAACACAGGAGTTATTTCAGAAATATGTATTTTTGTTCTTTGAAGTCAATTTCTTCACAGGGACTATTCTAACGGAGATGAAGCCTATTTTTATTTACTACTAGTTATTTACCGCTAGATTCTTTTAATGAATCCTTTTCTTCCTGAGTACCTTCAGCGCTACCTCTTGGGCTACTGCTTCTACTGAAGGTTTTACGACGAGCACCTCCTCAGCGATAGCCTGCAGCACTCCTTTATAAATCTGCTCTCCTGTAACAGAGGCCTCAAGCTGTGTGGATTCAGCATCGTACAGTTTTTTGAGTTTGCGCCCACTGAGTTGTTTATGTAGACTTAAAAATCTCTAAATCAACTATAGTGGCTTGGATACAATGTCACCTTGCATGTTGACCCCAAATTCCAAAGCTGTGAGGAGAGAAAACTTGACGCTAAATGGCACCTTGTTAATGTTTCTCCACTGAGAGTAGTCGTGCTGCTCACCTCTCCTAATTACAGGACCCCTATTGGTCGGACGGATGGCACGCAGGAGCCAATCCCAGAGTGCCTACCAGCAAGCAGGGGCAGTTTGACATGCCTTTTTGTTTTTAATGATCAAGGGGGTTCCTTTAAAATGTTTGCCTTTCCGCCTGTCCCTTAGGTTAGAGAGCTCAGATAACCAGCAAGCCCCCCCTCAAGAAGCTCGATCCAGAGAGCCGCTGGATCCCGAGGTGATCACAGGAGGCCTGAACTTCAGCACCTTTGCAGGTAAGGACTCTTGTGCATGATGTAAAAAGTTTATATATGTGCAGTTATTGGAGCCACTGCAACTGCCTGCTTCATCGTCTGTGGTTTCAAAGTGAGAAAGTCTTCATATTTTTTAAATCAGCAGCTGTTTAACAGACAAAAGAACATTTCAGGCTTTTTCCCTGTTCGATTGTTCATTTAAGTCGCATTATATGATATTCAGATATTCATAATTTACGTCTTATTTTCCTCAGTAATCCCTGAAAGAAATCTCTATTACAGCATGTCCCCAATCCTCTCCATTGTCTGGGTATCAGCCAGTTACATAAAAGCTTTCTCATTGTTCCAAGTGCATTGTCTTCTCATTTCCATATCTAACAAAACTCTCCACAGAAATACAAGACACCAGATTCAATCCAAGTCTAGTTGAATTGTAATATCACAGTATAATGCCAGAAGTTCATACTTTATTAAGTAGCCTCAAATGCAATTCTGTTACAACATTATCACTGATTATTGTTTCTGTCTTTTCCCCTCAGGAAGCATATAAAACAAAAAATGGCGCGTTCTGGAGGACCATCACTTTTCCTGATCCACACAGGATTCCTGTTAGCTATTGTTTTACTTCCAGGTGAGACTTAATGTGCATATTTTAACTGATATAAAATGCTTCTTTGATTTTGTTAACTTAGATTCAGATGGCAGACAGAGAAAAATGGACTCTAATGTTAACTTATAGAGAGAATCATAACTGAAGATACTGAGGTATGTTGGCGGATTTATCACCCTGCTAAGGATTTGATTAACAATGATACTTTGATAGGTTACATTTTTGAAACTTTGGATCTAATTTAGGGCTGCCCACTATTAGACAAATAGTAAACAAATTCACAGTTTTTGTCTTGACTACTTTCTTCTGTTGACGATTAGAACATCTCTCGTAATCACAAGGTTTAAAGTGAATCTTTTTTTACGTTTCACTGATGAGAAACTCTACCAACCAACAAATTGATTAGTCGACAAAGTTGTATGGGTCTTTCCGAGTAAGCTTTACAAAAATAAAATGTATTTTTCGTAAAAAAATACAATAAATTAAAAACAATAATAGAAGTTTGTTGAATTTAGGTGTTTAAGACAAGTGACTTTGAAACACCATTTAGAGCAGGGGTGTCAAACTCAATTTCATCACGGGGCCACATCAGCATTATGGTTGCACTCAAAGGGCCGGTTGTGACTTTAAGACGATATCATTAATTAATATAACTTCATAATTAACTACGTCTGAAAGCAGAAGTCTAGAGCAAATAATTGCAAGTCTCTTCAGTAAGAATGTCACAATATGATTTTAAAAGAAAAGCCACATTCTGGAAAAACATTGATTGTGACATTTTGAAAAAGAGAAGTGACATTTTGAAAAAAAAATCTATTTATGAGAAAAAGGCTAATTCTAAGAAAAAAGGCATATTTGGACAAAAAAAGTCAAATTCTGAGAAAAAGTCAAATTTGAGATGCATTGTGGGACATGTCGTTTATGGGCAACGTGCTTCTGTAAAGTAGCATGTAACCGTATAATAAACATATTATATTCTTTGCAAGCTCTTGTGGGGCCACATAAAATGAAGTCGCGGGCCGGATTTGGCCCCCGGGCCTTGAGTTTGACACCCCTGATTTAGAGTCTCCAAGCTCCCTGGTTTAGTAACCACCTGCATGCCTTTATAAAGGTTTTATCCTTCATTTAAAAAGTCCACAAATATGTTTGTTTGGTTTCTTCTCAGCTTGGTTCATTTGAAGGATTTTCTCTGGCCTTAATTTTCTGTCTAATCCATTTAATCATCTCCCTTCCTTCAGGCGAAGCCTTTGTGGAAGAATTTGCGTTTTTGCCAGCAATGGAATTTAGCACCCTTTTCATTTTTTGTGTTCCTACGTTATTTGTTCTCCCTCCTTAAGGGGAAAACATCCTTGGTTCCCTTGAAAAGTTATATAGAAATGCATATTATTATACATATCATTTGTATTATAACGTCCATGAGCATTGGCTTATTATTGTCACATGAACTACCTTCAATACCAGAAAGAACATTCTGTGTTGATGTGCATGGTAGCCATCTCTCTAGAGTCATAAAAAACATGAACACCTTCTCCTCTGGGACATTTTCCACATTAATAAATGAAAAGGACCGGAAGTTTCTGCCATAATCAGCTGACTCCACTAGTTTTTTCTCGTTAACTTCTGAAGGAACCCCCCCTCGCAGAAGAACGAGATGTACACAGACATGTCGTCCCCCCCTCCAACCTCTCACTTTTACAGTGCATTGGTAATTGGTTTGTGTGAGGGCCCAGTCTTTGTAGTTTTACAGGTAAACTTTAAGGAGGCCCCCAGTAGTTGCACAAGCTCTACTGGTCTGGCTCAAAGCCCAGCAGAGCGTGGGGCTGGGTGGGGGTCTGCAGGAGGGGGGGGGGGGGGGGGGGGGGGGTGTTTAATCTGCAGGATGCTGCATGTGTCGGGGCGCCAGAGCCCCAGCACCTGCCGTGTTTCACCCGCGGGCTTATTAGCAGGTCAGCGTTTTCCCTGATGTTGAGAGAAAGCTCAACATCTGGTCCCAGTCAGTGAGCGTCTCTGCTGCTGCTAATATGGCTGCTTGTGTTTTACAGAGTTTCTGGGGGCCGTGCCAGTGGAGCAGCGCAGGGAGGAGGAAGGTAAGCATCTGTGATGTGGCATGTGGGACACCATGGCAGTTTAGTCAGTTAAAATATGGATTAGGGAGGTGGACTTCAATCATGGACAGAGATGATTTCAATGTTCTTCCTTTGTTACACACAGTCAGTAACTCACAGATGTTGGTGACAAAACAATTGGTTACAATTTGGTGAGGTAAAACGAATTTGACTGACATCACTATGTAACACTCAGGCTTCTATTGGCTAATGCTCCGACACATACGTGATATGCTAAGGGACGGGACATCTCTAAGCAATTAGCCAATCACAACAGAGCCAGCCAGCTAACTAATCAGAACAGACTCGGCTCTGGTTTTAGACAGAGGGTGAAAAGAGGTGCTGCAACACAGGCAGAATGAGAAAAATAAGCACTTTTTGAACATTAAAGCGTGTAAGCATGTCACAGTAGAGGCACAACATACAAATATGAACCTGAAAATGAGCATCATGTGTACTCTTTAAACCATTTGTAAGTTATTTATCCAGCACACTTTCTTTCCCTCTCTCTCCTCAGTGACTGCAGTGTCTGACGATGTGAAGGCCGATGCCATGGAGAACCTGAGGACTCTTGTTCGCAACAGAAGGAACATCGTCCCCGTCATGGCCACAATGGGCCAAATACCCCATTTCAAACGCATGCCCGACTTCTGGGGATGGTACAAGCTCTTCATGAACAGCCACAACCAGGAGGGAGTGAGTGCAGTTTGTTTCGCATTAATCATCAGTTCCTACCAGGGAGGATTGACAGTGCTCATTTTTAACAAAAAATACTAATTAAACAGTATTCGACCTTCTTCATATGATAAATTAGCGATGCGAGTCCTGTTCCAGCATGTTATTACCAGTGAGAGCTCAGTGGTTTAAGATTGAGGCTGTATATAGATGAGAAACAACACAGTGAGCTGAAAAAAGAAAAACTCCTCCACAGAGGATTCGTGTGAAAGTGTTCATCTATAAAGGACTTAGTTTAAAGGTCCCATAGTGTACAAAGTGAGATGTATTCATGTGATTCTTAGTGCTATATAATTACTGTGAAAGCATCAAAACGCTCAGTCCTTGGAGAATTACACGCAGCCTTTTTCCGATATCTTAAGCCTTTCACACGTCGTCAGGACTACTGCAATGTTGTGAAGTCAAAACGGTCCATCTTTTCCTTCACAGTCATTTTCTGGAAGCAATTTTTTGGTTTAAAGTGGCAGGCGCTAAACAGAGCGTTTCATACAGGTATCTGCAGGCAGACACTATGAGAAACAGGATGTGTTTTGAACATTAAACCATGTTAACATGTACTGGAAGTCACCCAAAAAAGAAGTATAAATCTGGAATTAAGTATAATATGTGTCATTTCATTTCTTATTTCTTGCATGCAACCGTAAATAATAAAATTATACATTTTCCCTTTTCACCCAATTTTCCAGGTTGAGGATCTGGATCGTCTGTACCTGAACTTCCTGCAGAACAAGCACAGGTCAGAGGAGGGCCCGAACTTCAACCACTACCTGAAGCACCTCAGTGAAATCTACAAAACCTGTGCCGACTCCGATGATCCCGAGTGCATCTCCGAGTCCACCAGCAAGCCCAAGGCCGCGATGGTGATGCCCGAGGCCATCAAGACTGCCGACGTCAGGATGTGCAACCCTTATTTGGACCCCTACTGCCTCTTCCCCATCGGCTCCAAGGCTGCTGCGCCCGCGCCTGCTCCGGTAAAACGGCCCGCCCCCATCCTCACCCCCATGCTGCCCATGCCCATGAAGAGCTCCACCGGCTTCTACTACTACGCCCCCGTCCTGGAGCCCTTCCTCAGCGAAGTGCAGAGGGCCGAGCTGCTGAGAATCTGCAACTCTGAGGATGTGGAGTGTCTGCAGTATCACCTGAGAGCAGCCTATGGCTACCGCCCGGCCGCTGGCCCCGCCCCATCCTACGCCGCCCTCAAATGCGACCCCAAGGACCCGTACTGCATGCCCCCCCTGGTCCAGAAATCCCCCACCGGCTTCTACCACATGCTGTACCCCAGCTGTGACCCAGCAGTGGATCCTCTGTGTGTGACCGCCGCCCCGGCCCCCCTCGCTGCGGAGGAGGAACCCAAAGAGCAGCACTGCAACCCCCTGTTTGACGGCGGCTGCAACCCGCTGAGCGCCACCAAGCTGTCCGGACTCACCAGGCCCGTGTTGGAGTTCGCCCCCAAGGCAGCGGCTGCTTCTGGTCCCGCTCCTCTGTCCTGCGACCCTCGCTACGACCCGTACTGCATCCTGGCCGCCGCCGCCGCCCTGCGCAGGCCCGCCCCGCAGATGCCCGAGCACCAGGTCTGAATTTGAAGTCCTGCTACTAGATATAGTTGGATGTCTTGACTAATCTAGTGAAATACTGCTTGTTGAATGGTTCTACTAATTGTCTCTTCCTTTTCATTCAGTTTATTAAATGATTTAGTGAAATTAAATGGGTGTTGCATAATGCTTTCACTTGCTTTCTATGATCTGTTTTGCATCTGTTTTGAACCAAAAACACAAATCAATCAATTAACCAGGTCCGCTACAAGCTCGGCGTCGAAGGCAAGACCAAGGATGGCCACGACTGCTACGTGCACTACGACAAAGACTGCACCCCCGTGAAGTATGGCTCTGCGGCCAAGGCCAACATCAAGGCTCCAGCCAAGCCTTTCTGCCATCCCTTCGACCCAAACTGCGGCAAGTTTGCTGCAGGACCCTCGGCCGTTGAGGCCCCAAAGCCCAGCAATGATGGCATCATCCTGCCCGACCCCGACTGCGACCCTGAGATGGACTTCAACTGCCGCCTGCGTCGCGCCCAGCCCGCTGAAGCAGCTGCTGATGAGCCCGCGGCTGCCGACGAGCCCGCCAGAGAGGCCGCCATACCAAACTTTGAAGACTTCCTGCAGGGCGTCATGAGCAAGCACCAGTAGAAATAACAACATCAATGCCTTCTAGATAATCTACCTGGCAGAAATGGAGCTCGCTGTGTTGTCTTTACTCTTTATGGACTTCATGAACCACCTTTCACAGTATCACCAGGTTCTATAAAAAAACTATAAAATAAATCGGAAAATATTGCAGCTGATTTTCACAGAAAACGCTTAATTTTGGTCTGCTTTACAAAAGGGGAACAATTCAAGAGGGCCAAGCAACATAGATCATGTGAAACTTGTGTATTAAATACTTCATGTATGTATGTTTGTAGAAAGAGTCGTATGTATAGATGTTTGATAGATTAGGGGTAGTTACATTTGTGTTAGTGGGCAATCATTTCTCTCTGCTGTACATTCTCTGTTTCCATTTGAGTTACCCTATTTAATGTTGTGTTTCACATTTTTCTGTAACTCTAAACCTCATAATGCTTCATCTGTTTAGTTTTTATGAAGTTCTTAATAAAAAAAGAGTTGAAAAACTTCTGAATTGTCTTTCTAGATCTGCACTTTGAGGTCACAGACAGAGATGAGATGAAAGTATATTACTTGATGATGAGCAGCCAAAAGAGTTTCAAGAATCCAACAAATATTTTAAAGTTTTAACATCATTTTATAAAGTTTACTCTGCACACAGCATTTCATCACATCATCACATCAGTCCCCAGATGTTTCAACTAACATGCAGCACCATGTCCAGCCTTACAGCCAGCTGGTACCAGTTTACTATCCACCATTATAAAAACTCATTGTTGCTACATCCGCACGTTTTATATTCAAACATAATTTCCAAAAATATGTATTTCTAAGTTAGTACATTACACTGTCAAACTTCTACCTAATTAGAGTTTTCCCACCTTTATTGCAAGATAAAGGGAAGCTTTGGCAATTTTCAACCAGCTTTGTGTCTTTTCAAAGTGGGTGGTACGTGCAAATAAACAATTTTTTGCTTCTCTCAATGTTACTGCAGCCTGGGGAGCTCTTGGCGCCAGTAACTGACGGAGGGAAGCCTGTGTTTACTGTGCAATGTAAAGATGGCTGCTGTTAAAAGGGCCCATCACTACTGTTAGCATTGTGACATGTTCATAATGACAATGCTAACATGCTGATGTTTAAGTGGTACAATAGTGCAGCTGAGGCTTATGGTGTTCTTCTTGCAGGTATTTGGTCTTATTATGAGATGTTTAATCATGATTAAAGTATCTCTATAAACAGTTATATGACCAAAAGCCAATGGATTCTCAGATTGCGATAAAAGCGGTTGATCAACCATGATAGCAAGGCTAAAACAGCAAAGTGTGTTTCTGACAATGTCACAGCTGTCCACAGTTGTCTAAATTATTAACAGTGACAAGGGGAATTCAGTAACACCTCGAGCAACGTGATGAATTAATCCCGAACAATGTCATCACCTGTCCTGTGAAACACTCAAACACACTTGTCTTTGTAAATTGTGAGGATATTGTATTGACCCACATTGATTTGCTAGATGCTAAAACTGCTAACCTTAAAAGCATGTGCTATCCCTAAAATGAATGGTAATCCAGATGTTTGAGTCCTGATAATGTGACTGTTTGAAAAGGTGAACATAAATATAGTTATGCACAAAACGAACATGTTTTTTCTGCATGTATGAGCAGGAGGATTAATATGTACAGTCACACATCAATGTAACAACAGATGCAAAGTGCATCTACCAACCGTACGGAAAATACTAATAAATCTTAGTTTAACATCTGACAAAAACGCAATCACAAATTCAGGGTTTTGATAAATTAATGTATTTCTTTGAAATGTGAACAGCCTTTATTCAAGAAATCCTGAATAATTAACTGCTGTATGTTCTCTTCCACAGCTGAACAGTGTATTTTATAAACCAGCTCCAGCCCTGGGCTACAAGGACTGCAGTGTCTTTTTCAATAACCAACTTTTCAACAGCTCCAGCACACAGCCGTCGCCTCAAGGAGACAAACGCCGCCACCGCCGCTGCTCCTGACAGTTTTAAAGGCAGATAACACACAGCCGGGCCGGTAATGACTACCTGAACACAACATGCACTCAAAAAGCACCATGAAGGTATGTTCCTAATTGTAGCTGCTGTCCTGTAAAGTTTGGACTGCAGAATTCTCCTGTCACGGTGAAAAAACAGTGAAACTTTCTGAAGCAAAACAAACTTTAAACTGCATTCAAGTTCAGTCCTACCTGAGTCCTTTACCATATTCAAATGTGCTTTAGTGCAGTAGTTGAAAGTAAGTCTGTTAATCAAGTAATAATTGAAAGTGAGGCGCTTTTACCGCACTACATGTATTTGACAGTATTAGTTACTTAATCTGCAGATTCAAATCACTAACGCAAAATATAATAAACAAATATAGTTTTGTTAAAAGTTGCAGATGATACTTTATTTATCCTGGGATAAAATTCTAAGTGATGCACAACTTATAATATAGCAATATAGTAAGCATTATGCTACATAATAAGTACTTTCATGCTTAGTTCTTCAAGTAAATGCTAATACTAGTAAAGTACATGTTTGAAAGCAGTTCATACTTGAGTATTTCCTCACTGTTGTATTGCTACTTTTACTTGTGAAAACAATACTTTTTCGATTACTGTGTCAGGGTCTAAAATGAAATAAAAACGTTTAAAGGAAACGTTCTATTCAAGTTTTAAACGTTAAAGTGTATTTACTCTGCCTAAACCAAATACATATTGTTTTTTAACCAAGTAGAATGTTTAATGTGATGATGATACTTGCAGAGGTGTTTCCACTCTTGTTGTGAGCTTTAATATTTACCTGCAGTCTCCAGCAGGTGATCTCCCAGAGCCGCAGAGACTGAGGCTGTCATCTGTCTGTCCAGCTGTCACAATTATTTCCATCAAATACTTCAAACATTCATCTGCTACTCAGTAGTATGTATCTAATACCTAATATATACCTAATATATATATATCATTCCAATAACTTGTATATAGACTCGTACTGCACTATTCCACATCATCACTTTATTTTATTTTATAACTATTTTTCTTTTTGTATTGCTCTTGCTCTTATTGTTATTATGTTATTATGTTGCATTGTTGGAGAAGCCTGTGACATAAGATTTTCAACTACATAATTACTCTGTAGCTATGTCAGATTGACAATAAAGAACCTTGAACCTTGAACCTTGAATCAGACTGAGAGTCAGAGCTGTTCTGTAATGACAGCTAGAGGGCTCACGAGAAAAACTTCAAAGCATGTGAACCTCGTACATTAATTAATAATCATATTTAGACCATTAATCCAACATCAGTTAGACTAACTCCTTCCCTATTCATGATATAACATAATATTTTACGTTGACTTTTTATAGTTTGATATCTTTAGGTGAGATATTGTGAAAGCTGCATCGTTGCTAAAAATTGAATTTCATCAAAGGTCGTGTCGGGGGAGCAGAGATCAAACAGTGTGAGGAGGAGAAAGAGAAAATGTTTGGAATCAATTTCACGCCTCCGTGAAGAATAATTGCTGTGGATTTTAAACATTATGATATTAAGATAAGCGCCTTTCAGCTTGTCTCAGTGGAACGAATTTAGTCTACTGGTTTTATCACGGCTGCCTGTTTCTGTGTTAATTACTAAATAACTGATGAATTTATCTAACGTGAAAAACCTTTCCACGCCTCTGTGACAGACAGAAATACAGACAGATATCCAACAAAAATGATATTGCAAAGCTTGTTTATAAATCTATTTTTAATGAGGTGAAATAAAAGATCTATGCACACAAAAGTATTTCTTTCTC